TCATAAATTTCCTTCTTTGCCCCCGGGGTAATATTCTTTGTCCCCCAGACACCAAGTCACAATCAAACCCCTTTTTCCCCCCAACCGTTCTATGATTCACTTCATGTTTTATTGCCCACCACAATTTCTCAATACAATTTAAACCTTTCCCCCATACTTTCCCCTTTCCCAAACTGTTTTCCAATGTTTCGTCCCTCACTTTTTTGTTAACTTTTATCGCCTTTTCTTTTTCCTTAAAATTCCCTTTTAAATTTTTTTCTTTTACATACCCTACCAAATTCATCCACCAACCTCTGCAACTTCTCTTCAAAATCTCCCAAAAGCACAGTGTCATCAGCAAATAGCAACTGTGACAACTCCCACTTTGTGTTAGATTCTATATCTTTTAACCCGTCACACAACTCTTGCCAACACCTGAGCATTCACTTCTATTACAACCCCATCTGTAAATATATTGAACAACCATGGTGACGTAACTCATCCTTGTCAAAGGCCTAATTTTGCTGGGAAATAATCTCCCTCTAACCTACATTCTATAACCTGAGCCTTCCTATCCTGGTAAAAACTCTTCACTGCTTTCAGTAACCTACTTCCTATTACAAACATTTTCAGCATCTTCCACATTGTTGCAGTATCCACCCTGTCATATACCTTTTCCAAAACCATAAATGCCAAAAAACCTATGTTGCCTATGTGTCTTATCTACCAACCTGTCGGTATTGTATACCATTTGATAATCACTCTGTCAGACACTGCAACACAATGGCATCTTGGTATAGAAGAGAAAACACCTTGGACAACTTTTTCAAGTTAGATGTGAGTGGGACATTACCTCTCAGTAGCTACATTCTCACTACTACTACTCTGCACCTCTCCTTCAGACAGTATTTAAGTCTCAACACTGTCGCTTGATCTTCAGATAGTTCCTGACTATGGAACTGAACTTCTCCAGGCTGAGGGACTGACAACCTCAAATTCTACGACTTCAAGGGTGATGGACTGATTAGATCGTCTTCACATCTCTACTGCTCCCGCCTACTTTCTGTACTCGACTGAAGAAGCCTACTGTGTAGGCGAAACGTTTCGGAATAAAGTTGCCTAAATGTTGCGTATGTGTCTTATCTACCAACCTGTCGGTATTGCATACCATTTGATAATCACAAAACAAAGGCAGCTTCACCATCTCTGAAGTCTTAGCAAGAATCCTCCTGAAAACAGTTAACCCTGCCATCACATAGCCTCTCCTGTTAATACTACACAAAGCACATTACAGAGAATGAACAATGAAACAGGCCTTCTCTCTCCAGTCTATATTTGTCTAACCTATTTTTATGTTACCCAAGTAATAGCTTTGATATCCTTTTACTCATGTGCCATATTGTATTACTAATACTACTACAACTTATATCACTACTACTACTACTACCACTAGTGTTGAATTAGACACATGTGCAACTCTTGGGTATCTTTATTGAGGAAACGTTTCGCCACACACTGGCTTCATCAGTCCATACAAAGGTGAAACTTGAAGAACAGGAGGAGAACGAGGTAATCAGTCCCTCTGCCTTGAGTCGATGTGGTCAGTCCATCAATCTTGAATAGAATGTGTCTATTTCAACAACATGTCATTTCTCTGAACCATTCATCTACACTACCACTAGTATTGCACCTCACTCTCAGCCTATATCTACCCTTAGTGTCCATGTATTGTTTGTAACGGCTTGACAAAGCTCCTGGAGAGCGAAACGTTGCCACAATAAAATGTCACATTAGTTGCACTTGTGTCCTTTTACTTTACACAATTTAACACTTGATTTTACTGATTATTTTGATTATTTATTGACACTAATTGATACTACACTTCAATTTCACAGTCAACACTTTGATATTCTTTGATGCTAGTGATAAAAAAATAACGAATCTTCGATTCCTTGATCAAATCTCATCTCTTTATTACCTAGGTTCTGTATGACGTCAAGTGGGTTGGGACTTCTTCATTATTTCAAAGAGTGAAGAAAAACACTTGTTCTTATACGGATATTTATTCATTATGTAATAGGCTTGTTAAGGAAGACTAATGTAAATGTTTAAATTTTATCCACGGTTAGTAGTGGCTTCATTGGAAGACGATCGTCGTTGAGGTCGTTCTCATAAAGGTGTCGTTGAGGTGTCCATTCGGTGTTCTCTCCAACCATTCTACCCATGGTAGCCACCATGACCTCTGAAGGTACCATCATGTAAATATTAGTCACTGAACACCCAGGTCATCTACATCATTAATTTAATTATTACAATACATCATAAACATTAATGTTACGAGAGTGTGTGACTGATCTTAGTGAATCAATATAAATCATTAACAACTTATTCTTCTTTTATGTACATATGATGTCTCAGTTTTAACTGGACTCACTCATGTGTTAACTTACCCACCAAGGCCTCCGAATTTACCACCAAAGCCACCGCCAAGTCCACCTCCACCAAATCCACCGCCAAGTCCACCGCCAAGTCCACCGCCACCAAATCCACCAAGTCCACCACCACCAAACCCACCAAGTCCACCACCACTAAATCCACCTCCGCCAAATTTACGGCGATATCCTGCAGAGGGATCAGGGTAGGCTATCACCACTCCAACCACAGTCAACACCACTACCAACATCATCTGGAAAGAAAAATAGATTCTAAAATTTTTATTTCAGTCTATACTGTTGACTATGATAGTACTGAGATTTAGATTTTGCCACCAAAATGGTTAGTTTATTGTGCATCCCATACCCATCCTATGGACGGTATTATAAGATCATATAGATACACAAAAGGCCTAGTGACCAGACCCCAAAAGGGTTAACAGGATTACATCTGGATTAATATCTACAGTTCACTTAGAAAATTTGCTTAATATAACTGGCATTTCATTTTCCTTAATAAGATTCCTTGATATGCCACATAATTTATTACACTTTCTCTATATTCCTCAGTAAGTAGACAGTTAAGCATATGGTGTTCAAGATAGTGACCATAGTGCTGGCAACGTACTTTGCGTTTGGTTTGATCATCTCTGTGTCTTCCAAACCGACAGAAGCACTTGTAACCAAGCCTAAGCCTGGCCACTACAACATCAGTCAGTCTGTTCACATTGCAAGTTGCTCCATAAACATACTTATCTATGCTCATGTTATCACAGTTGGTTATCGATCTAATAGCATTCATTTCCATTATTTTACTCTCTCCAAATATTATTCAAAATGCTAAACACCGATAAAGCAAAGTTATATTCTATTTAACAACTTTATCACGAAGGAGTAATCCAGTGCGTGATGGGATCCAGAGCAATTGTACATTAAGGTATTTTCCCGCTTTTTTTTTTTAGTACCTATACCTGGCTCCTCCAATCGGCATTTTGGAGTCATTCTGGGAGTCAGGCACCGTCAGTATGATTATAGAGTCACGCTTAGTGTCATAAGTTATTTTTAGTGTTATTAGGATGGCAAACAATTCAGTTGGCAGTGTAAACGCCCAGTTATTAATTCTCATGCGTAACTCAACAAAGTTGTTATCGTTCTTATCTAAGGAGGTGACAACAAGAGCAGATGCTGCCCTGCCAGAACACTCCTGCTTAGATCCATCCATGTATATAACTTGTAATGAATTATTACTACCAGCTAGGCGAGAAATTTCTTCTTGAGCAGTTGCTTTTAAAGAGTACTGAGTGGTGTATTTTCTGACTGTTTATTAACGTCTTCATAGCTATGTCAATTTGCTCAAAAATGTTTTCCATTCTTCAGAATAAAGACAGGAATATATACCTGAGCTCTTAGTCAAGTCTTAACGGTTAAAAATATCCTACCATCTCTTCTGAAAATGAATGCAGAGTACCAATAGAAAAAGTAACTGTGATTCATTATATTCTCAATTAAATTGATTCCTACAAAATTGTCGTGTGAAAATACAATTTTTTCGAACAAAATTTTACAGAAATAATACAGCACTAATGTCCTAGAAAATCTTTTAATAATGATTTCCAACATGGAGAGTCTTGCACTTCTTCATATTTTTCTCAAATGCAAAAGTTTTTTATTCAGTAAAACATATCTCCACAAGGGAGGATCCTTGACACTAACGCTAGTGAAGGGCTCTTGATTTAGGGGAATTGGAGCTGTGCTCCGGTTCCCTGAACTGAGCCTGAATGACTTCTATCTCCCCCACAAGTACTGTATAATCCCTACTGGTTTAGCACTACCCCATAATAATAATAATAACCAATAACTAATACATACATTAAAAAGACCTGAAAGTGAGTTCTGTACTAATCTGATGCCTAATGAATTTTATCACGTTCGTGATCGGCTGTATATTTAGAACAATATTCTTCAAAGTGAATCTGCACGACAGTTCTTGTCGCTGGAGAAGACTCATGTTTCAAGAAATACGATCTACACTCCCTGTTTTAGATCAAACTTAATAACCAATCATTCATATGTGTTCTGTGATCTCTACGAGTTTAGTGTTCGTCTATAAATTTATGCAAGTGAATTGTTCTGATTAAATACACTGAAGGATACCCACGTTCACTATTATAACATGTGAGACATAGAAAGCACCACCAGTGCTAATAATATTACCAGAACTGATACCATCAACAACACTAACACTGGTACAACATCACCACCAGCACTGGCACAAACAGATGCACCAGCAGTGGCACCGATGACAGCACCAGACGTGACGCCAACACCAGCACCAACACTGGCACAAGTAGATGCACCAGCACTGGCACCGACAACAGCAGCAAAAGTTATACCAACAGCAGAACCAGTACTGGCGCCAGCAGATGCTCTAGCAATGGTACAAACAGCAACACCAGTACTGGCAAAAGCAGCAGTACTAGTACCAGCAGCACTGGCAACAACAGCAGCACCAGCAACAACTCACTGTGAATTAATAACTACTTACCAGCCCTCGCAGAGACATCATGGTAGCTGTTGTTTACTTGTGAGTGAACAAGTGATGCTTGACCATGTCCAGCTCCAGCTTATATATCCAGCTCACTCAAACCACAACGTTGTTCTTGCCAACTGATGCTATTTTACCATCATAAAAGAAATACCGTTGATATATTTTGCTTAGCTCTTGTATTAAATAAGGAAAGAAAGACCTGTTTTATTGGAGTTAACAACGAATTTTGTTGTTATTTATATTAATATAAACAGTGTTTGCATTGGAAATTGCTAACAGTAGTACAAGATAAGAAGGGAAGCACTGGTCGTGATTGTAACAGAAGTACGGAGGGGAATTTTTCAATGATTGTTCAATCACCTTAGGAGTTCCCAGCTTGAAATTGCTTGAAACCAATTCTCTTTAATATTCTTCTCTCTGTCTGTCTGTCTGTCTGTCTGTCTCTCTCTCTCTCTCTCTCTCTCCTCTCTCTCTCTCTCTCTCTCTTCTCTCTCTCTCTCTCTCTCTCTCTCTCTCTCTCTCTCTCTCTCTCTCTCTCTCTCTCTCTCTCTCTCTCTCTCTCTCCTCTCTCTCCCTTCTCTTTTTTTTACACAGGGTTTGACATGGTTAAGGATCCCTAGCTTTATTGACAAGCTATTTACAGGTTAAGGATTCCTAACTTTATTCACAAGCTAAGAGCTGTTACCTACATCAGCTCATTTGAAAGCATTTTTATTGTTATGAAACATACAAGTAGGGAATGGGATGAAGTTGGATCCATCTGTGGGCCACCATTTTCATCTGATCAACTGACTTTATCTCATTAACATCATAATGCCGTACGGATGCATTCCAGACTCGAGTCATCCTGGGAATAAATGATCTCAGATTAAGTGATGTTCTGGAGAAGAGTACAGTCTGAGTGAAGTTGCTGCTTTCTGCCCGTCTTGTGGTATAGAAGCTTGCTTCACGCTGTCCACGAAGTGGATCCAAGTGTTGTACTTTTACAATATTGGCCTTGTATATAACAGTAAGGCCACCCACATCCCTCCTGTGTTGAAGGCTCTGCTGAAATGACAGATCTATCCAGGACTGGTCCAGGCGAGAGATGAGACGTCTTGCTCTGTTCTCTACTCTGTCAAGCAGTCGCAGATGAGAAGGGGGGGGGCAGGTGAACCAAGAAAGTGGAGCATGCTCAAGGTGTGAGCATGCTTGTGCCTCGTATAAAATCTTGCAACCCCTGCTGTCAACAAGATGGGAGATACAACGAAGTGCTGTAAGCTTCCTGGCTGCCTTGTTTGCAAGATTTACAACTTGATTTTTCATGGTCAGTTTGGAGTCAAATTTCAGCCCAATGATATCAACTTTTTCCCCTGGTGCCAACACCCTCCCATTCACCCTTACTACTGCACCAGCATTATCATCTTGGTGCCTAGAGTTCATCATTTGTGTTTTCTCAGGTGCAAATGTTACTTCCCATCTATTTCCCCAAGCTGATATAGTTCTGAGCTGGTGATTAGTGTAGCTTAGAGCAGCTGGCATTTCTTCTCTTGGATAAGTGTATGTCAGTGTACAGTCGTCTGCATATGCATAGGATTCTGGGATGAGAAGAAGAAGGTTATTGAAGTAGACATTCCATAAAAATGGTCCCAGAACACTTTCATGTGGAACACTTGCCCCAGTAGGATGTCTTGCTGATTCTGTTCCATTGTGAACTACCCTTAGAGATCTACCATGAGCTTGCCAGTGATTGACAGGAGTGACACTGGTCTGTAGTTGCTGATTTCTGCTCTGCTCTTCTTTTTGAGAACAGGGACTACATTTGCCTCTTTCCACAGAGAAAGCCATTTGCATTGTAATGGGCAGTGCTGAAAGATGCGAGTTAGAGGTGCTGCTAGCTGGTCTGCACATCTTCTCAGCAATCTTGGGCTCAACTTGTCTGGGCCCACAGCCTTTTCTTGGACAAGCGATTTAAGAAGGAAGTGCACCTCTTCCTGCCTTATTGTCACCACTGACAGTTTTGACACAGTTCTTGCAGCTAGCCAAGAGGGTCCCTTGCTGGATCAGGAACTTGCATTTTGGTAGCAAAGTATTCGGCAAAGACGTCCACTTTCTCTTGACTACTAGTAGAGGTGGTCCCATCATGTCGATTTAGAGGTGGACTGAGTTCATCAGCAGATAACTTTGTCTGTCCTTGACCAGGGACCACCAGGTTTTGGAGCCTACCCTACCTGATGCTAGCTTTCTTCTTGTGTCCAACTCCCATTTAGCAATGGCCCACTTGTAAACGTCACCCATATGCTTACAGGCTTGCCTGTGCAAATTCCTGTTATAGGTGGTAGGATGTCTCTTATACCTTCGCCATGCCTTGTACTTAGCAGTAGGAGCCTCTCTACAACGAAAGCCAAACCAAGGCTGATCTGTAGGCTTCGTCACATATTGCCGGTGAGGAATGTGTTCTTGTTTTAAGGATGTGTCCAGTGAAGGCTTTCACTTGGTTGTCAACATCCCCTTCGAGAAGAGCATTCCAATCGGTGGTGGCGAGCTCAGAGCAAAGGGCTGGCCAATTACCTCTTTCCCATAGCCAGGTTGTGCGTGTGGACTCCTCACCTCATTCTGTTGGGATCTTAAGTGTCGTAAAAACAGCTTTGTGGTTAGATGATCCAACGTAGCCGAGGAATTGACAAGTGACTATACCTTCTCCTAGATCGCTCACTACTGGGTCAAGAGAGGAGCCAGATATGTGAATAAGGAAATCAACATAGTTTCTCACGTCAAATACTCCAAGAAGGTCATCAAAGTCCCTCTGTACAAGGTGTTGGTTGAGGTCACCAACAATTATGATATGTTGACAGTTGTGTTGTAGCAGAAGGGAGTCCATATTTTCCATTAGGAAGTTGATGGGGTCTACATGTTGCCACTGAGGTCTGTACATTGCACATGCTAGTACAGAGGTACTAGTGTTTATGCATAGCTTGAAGAACATAATTTCAAGATGTGTTAGAGAAGCACACAGCTGCACCTCTTCTCTCTCTCTCTCTCTCTCTCTCTCTCTCTCTCTCTCTCTCTCTCTCTCTCTCTCTCTCTCTCTCTCTCTCTCTCTCTCTCTCTCTCTCTCTCTTCTCTCTCTCTCCCCTCCTCTCTCTCTCTCTCTCTCTCTCCTCTCTCTCTCTCTCTCTCTCTCTCTCTCTCTCTTCTCTCTCTCTATCTCTCTCTCTCTCTCTCACTCTCTCTCCCTTTCTCTCTCTCTCTAGCATACAGTGGGAATCCTACAACTAATCTTGACCCTCGTTCGTCATAGAGTTCGTTCGTTATAGGGGTAATCCGTTCCAGGCCCCAAGTACAACCACTCATCAATCAAAAAAATAATATAAAATTGCGTAAAACGTACAAAAATATGCATATAAACTTCTGAAATATAGAATATTATTAATTCTGTCAATAAAAATTAATTTATTACAAAAATAAAAAAAAAATACTGTAGTTTATCCTACTTTAGTGATATTCAGCAAGTATGACAGGAAGCAGAGGAGTGATTTACTGAGAAGAGATGGAAGGTGTGAAATCATCCTTCCCAGTTCTCTTTAGTTAATTCTACAGCCAGTTCCTCTGTTGCATTTTTTGGAACATTTTAATATTATACTTTCATTATAACTTACTCCACAACTCCACAGTATAATATATAAATAAGCAAATAAAAAAATAAAAAAACAAATATATATACATATATATATATATGTATATACATATATATATATGTATATATATATATATATATATATATATATATATATATATATATATATAATATATATATATTATATATATATATATATATATATATATATATATATATATATATAATATATATATATATAGATAGATACGTATATATATATACATTATATAATATATATATATATATATATATATATATATAAATATATATATATATATATATATATATACATATATATATACGTATATATATATATACATATATATATTATATATATATATATATATATGTATATATAATATATATATATATATATATATATATATATATATATATATAATACATATATAAATAAATAATATATATATATATATATATATATATATATATATATATATATATACAAAATATATATATATAATATATATATATATATATATATATAATATATATATATAATATATATATACACACACACATTCTTAACACATCGGCCGTTTGCCACCAAGGCAGGGTGGCACGAAAAAGAAAAACTTTCATCATCATTCACTACATCACTGTCTTGCCAGAGGGGTGCTTTACACTACAGTTATAAAACTGCAACATTAACACTCCTCCTTCAGAGTGCAGACACTGTACTTCCCATCTCCAGGACTCAAGTCCGGCCTGCCGGTTTCCCTGAATCCATTCATAAATGTTACTTTGCTCACACTCCAACAGCACGTTAAGTCCTGAAAACCATTTGGCCCCATTCACTCATATTAATTACGCTCACGCACGCTTGCTGGAAATCCAAGTCCCTCGCACACATAACCTCCTTTACCCCATCCCTCCCACTTTTCCTAGACCGGCCCCTAGTCCGCCTTCCCTCCACTACACATTCATACACTCTCGAAGTCATTCTATTTTGTTCCACCCTCTCTACATGCCCAAACCACCTCAAGAACCCCCACCTCAGCCATCTGGATAATAGTTTTGGTAATCCTGCATCTCCTATTAACATACAAACTACGGATTCTCTGCAATAAATTCACACCACACATTGCCCTCAGACATGACATCTCCACTCTCTCCAACCTTCTCCTTGTTGCAACATTCACCACCCATTCTTCACTCCCATATAACAATGTTGGTATAACTATACTCTCATAAATTTCCTTCTTTGCTTCCACGGATAATATTCTTTGTCTCCTCAGACACCTAAGTGCACAATTCACCCTTTTCCCCACATCAGTTCTATGATTCACTTCATCTTTCATAGACCCACTCACAAATATCTCAATACATTCACCTCCTCCATACTCTCTCCTTCCGATCTGATAT